TGCAATTTTCTTTACAGAGCAGATATATATATATATAGAGGTTAAGGTAAGGCCCACAGCATGGCAATATGGATTTGGGACACGTGGTTCAATTCGTGTGTGATTGAGGGTTTGAGGGTGTTCCATGACACCTTTCACTCGAAGCATTTGAGACCAATCAGAGTTGCTTTCTCGTGATCCGATGCTCAGCATTTGCTCAATAACGGAAATCTGGAAGAAGGAGTCAGCATAGCACTTTGGAGAGTTTGACGAGCCTTTCTTTTAATTGGCTATGAAAGATTGGGACCATCACAAAACCAGAGCAGACGCTTTCAGTGGTTTGAGAAGAAGGCCTGCCAAAAGCCAGCAAGACCAACACCGTATCGAACTCTTGTATTGCTTTAGGCTTTTAGTTCCAACGTGGCCAGACCGCAATGTCTGAGGAGGAGATGAACAGCGTTCTATCCACTTGGATCCTGCGATGTTCAAGGTATCCTTTTGGATTATCAGACATTTCTAGACCCTTGGTAGTTGCCTCCCCATGCGCCATGCGCATGTAGTATATAGATGGATCATCACTAGTTTGCAGCAATGTGTATATATATATATATATTTGGTACCGCCCCCCCAAATGTCTACCTTTTTTGGTTGTTATTGGTATTTGTGGAGTTTTATTGACATTTTGGGACTTGTGAAAAAGAGTGTTTTTTTTTGAGGCACTTTCCACATGGGAGGGTACCATATATATATATATGTATAATTATATATCTATATAAGAATCGATGATGTAACGAAGGAGAGTAAGGCACCTCCAGTACTTAGAGGATTGGGGCAAGAGAGAGGTACGCACAGGTACGCGTACCTCCTGGATTGAAGATTGAAGATGGAAGATTCTGTCAATACTTTTGGTGAAATCTTCAATCTTCAATCCAGGAGGTACGCGTACCTGTGCGTACCTCTCTCTTGCCTCAATTCTCTAAGTATCGGAGGAGCTCACGTCAGTGCAATCGCCAAAATGTCGTGGCAGCTTGTGATTCATCAAGACTACTAGGTCTTCACTTCAAATCCAAGCAGGCATACTTTTGCTCCTTCTCCTTCGAGTGGCCCAGAGTTCTATTCACCTCATCCTGGGCGTCAACCACAAGGCAGTAGAAGGGATGCAAAGACGTTTTGGAGTGTGTCCGCAAAACGTATGTGGAGAAGCGCGAGAAGAGCATTGTGTTTGGCAAGAATTCGATGTGGGCTGATGTTGAGGGGGATGAAGCCACGTTTGATAAGAGAGACCTCACCAATGATGCCGAACTGAGCCATCAGATCAAAGGAGATCATTGCCTTCTATAGGGAGCAATGGCGTGGCCTTGTTCAGCGTGGTAGGCCTGAGACTTTGGTTCTTGCTCGTCTCCAACCTCCTCTCTGGCCCAGGACCTACCACTAAGAAAGATTGGAAGCCTCTTGCCCAGAAGCATCTTGCCAACAGGAAAATCATCTTCCACACGGATTCCGCCAAGGCGTACAACCTCAAGCTTCCTGGAGTGATTCACGATGCTGTTGGCCACCAGAAAAGAGAATCAAACTGAAGGGCAAATGGGTGTGGACGAAGCCTTCCTTCGTTAAGGTTGTCAGCCACAAGCTTCCTGATGGTAAACATCTGAAAGTGAAGGCTGGCACTCAGCACATTGACCGGTGCTGGAAGTTCCTGAAGGAACGCCTGTCTAAAGGACCGGGCTGCCGGGCTGGCATGGCAAGGCTTCGGCGCAAAATTCGGGCAGCCCAGTATGAGTACTGGCACTGGGGCAATGACCTATGGTCATGCACTGGGGACCTGCTGCACGACTATATGTCAGACATCATGGCGAAGCCTTAGCAAGAGCTAGCCAGTGGAAAATGAAAACGATTGTTGCTTTGCATCGGCTGCTCCTTGCCCCATTCAATCATAGACACCCTTCCAAGGACTCAGCTTGCCCTATTCCCTCATTGCTATCCTTTCAAAACGTCTGGCTTCATTGGTCTCCATGTGTCATTCATTCTGCCAAGATCTTTTCATATATCTGCTCCCAACTACAAGGCAATATCAAATAAAAACACGGAAGCAAAGCAAAAAAGGTATCATCTTTTCATATGTCTGCTCCCAACTACAAGGCAACAGCAAGTAAAAACATGCAAACAAGCCAAAAAGGTAGACATTTTGGGGGGTGGTAGCATATATATATATATATATCGATAATTGCAAGGGCTCCGCCCGGGTGCCGCCGACCCCTATGTCTTTGACAACACTGCCAAAACATCCAGGGCACCAGCACCCAGGCTCCAAAGTGCCCACGGCCTTCTGAACCCTGGGCTTCTTAAGCGGTTTTTTGGACGAGAAGGAATAATGTATATAGGGTGAGGGATCATGATGCAAGGATCGGGTAGAATCGGGGGTGACAATACTTTGCTTTCCATTTTCGTTCGGACCTTTGTTTTATTGAAGGCTCGCAAGCAGTTGTACCAATAGATGACATATGTCTTCGATATTGCCAGCTTCTGTCTAGATGCCATGCGAGGTTCACAAACTAGGAACTTGCTGTCACTGCTTGACGAAGGCAATTGATTCCAGTGTTGTTATTCTACGAGGATGCTATTTTGGTTTGTGCGTGGGATGAACACCGAGAAGGAACAGAAAGAGGGATCTTGAGCAAAGCCTTGCAGAGTAAGATCAGAGACGTGGCCCACTTGTGCATTTTGCGACAGAACGGGGTAAAGTTGGCGTCCATGACATGGTGCAGCTGGTCTCTGGGAAGGTCTATGCTGATTACCTGACGCGTGGCTTGGCAGAGGCCAGTGCTCTTAGGTTGGAGGCCATCGCTACTAATGTGGACATAGGATGAATGCACTCCCCGCTACTAATCAAGCCCAGCTCGACTCTCCAATACTAACTAACTGAAAACCTGAACTTCCACCTTGGCATCCGCGTAATATTCTTTTTCCTGTCCAGAACCCCTCCATACTAATCAAGCCGAGCTGCCCCAGAAAAAGACATGTAATGAGTTTGTTGTTTTATATAATATAGTTATTGGCATGGCTCTATGAAGCTTGTGCCAACAAGCTCAGCGCTCTCAGAATCCCGTCAACCATCCACCACCATCATCCAACCTGGCCAACGGCCGTGCCGGCTGCCGAGAGGGGTTTGAAGCCTGGCAAACGGCGCTTTCGAAACGCCTAAAGAGTGACAGGCACAGGCTTTGGCAGGCAAGGCTGCGGTGAGCCTGGCCAACGGCCCTGCCGGCTGCCGAGAGGGGTTTGAAGCCTGGCAAATGGCGCTTTCGAAACGCCTAAAGAGTGACATGCACCGGCTTCGGGAGCCCATAAAAAAGTTGCCAGAGGCTCCCTCCCAAGGCTCCGGAGCGGCTCCCAGTGCGGGGTGCAGCCAAGCAAAGTCACCTGGTACGTTGCCTTCGGGAGCCCATAAAAAAGTTGCTTGGCATTGCCAGAGGCTCCCTCCCAAGGCTCCGGAGCGGCTCCCAGTTGCCTGGCATTGCCAGAAGCTCACTCCCAAGGCTCCGCCAATCTGTGTCGCCACAGCTTTCAGGGGGGGTGCACGCCTGCAGCAAACCAGCGGGTTGGCTCAAAAAAGCCAACAGCCCACGGGGAAGTGGCTCGGTCAGGACATGAACCGCCCACGGCTTGGTGGTAGTGCCAGGACATGAAAGCAGAGGTAGAGGATGCCAATGCCAGGACATGAAAGCAGAGGTAGAGATGCCAATGCCAATGTTGCACCCTGCGGTGTCTCGGGCGCCTCCCCGCCTAGGCTTTGGCTAGGCCGGGGTCGGCGGATTTTAATTTGTTTTGTTTTATATTATATATATAGATATTTTTCAACTGAATTCTACTGGCTTCGAGTGTAGTGCTCAACTTTCCGGCTTCAATGAGGCAATGTGGCAATACGAGGCAATATGTTTCGATAGTATTGAAGCTGGGTCTAGGAGTCTAAGATCGACCCACGCTGAACAGAAGAAGGTTTGGTCCCCGGTCTTTGTGTAGCAGCTCAGCAGCTTGTTTGGATTACAAGCTGAATAGCACAGTTTGAGTCAGTATGTGTGTGTAGGAATGGTGAACATTTCTGGAGGATGCGGTCCGCAGAGTGAGATTTCACTTCTGTGCCTCCCGCCGTTTCCAACATGCATTCAACTTATATAACATTAAATTAGATACATTCTGTATTTATGAGTGCGATGACAAACTGCTGGTTAGTCCTCTGGGCATGCTCCATAATCGCCGTTGGCAGGACACAACTGCAATTAAGCCAGAAAACAAGGCCACAGCTAGCCTTGGGATAGGGGTTGAGCTAAGGCCATGGTGGTTGTAGCGATGAACGGGCAAGGTCTCTTGTTTTTTTTTTGGGCCGCCGTGCATAAACGTAAACGTACATTTGTTGACTGATGTGGTGAATTGTGGTGATGCCTTGAGTCCCGTGTGGCTGGAAGGCCTTCATCCTGGTCTCGGAGTCCAAAGCAGGGTTTGAGGGTAAAGAGGACTGATGGCTGCATTTGTCTCAGGAAAGAAACAGAGTTGAAGGAGCAGTCTCCAACGGTTGCAGGTTTGAGACTAACACACTAACAGTTACTAACACTATAGCATGCACACATTAGAAGATATGTCACAGTCAATAGCATAAAGAGTCTGATGGAATCAGTCAAAGCACCCAGAACCATCGCCCGAACCGTTGTGCCTCCGTGGTCGTTCGCCGGACTCGCCCCTGGTCGTCAGGAGTACGAGGAGCTTCGACGTCGTTTAAAGGTCCAGAAAGGACATGAGGCCACGCAGCGGACGCTGCGGGGCTTCGCCTTGATTTCTGGGGCATGCGGCATCAGTTGTTGTTTTGATTTGTTTTGTGCCCATTTTGAAGTCTTTGGAATGAGGAGACACCAGCGATTCCATTCACTCTCTGAAACAGCCACTGACCAATATCGACTAATATATATATATATATATTTTTTTTTAAATATGTTTTTTTAACTCTGGAGAGAGATAGAGAGAGAGAATTAACCAATTCACAAGTGTAATTGATCCTGTTGTTCCCAGATCAATTGATGTTGGAACATGAATGACGCACGACGAACTTTACAAGTCCAGTGACTAGTCGTTTAAAAGAAACTGATTATTCGCGGGTTGGTTTCAAGTTTGGCCTTCGCTGAAGTCATCGCACAGACAGTCAAGCAAGCATCACTCTAGAAACATAGTTAATTGAGACATTGATACTAGTAACAAGGGCATTGCTTCTAGTAGCAAAGGGCATTACTACTAGAAGCAAGGACGCTACTAGTAGCTCCTGGCATTACTACTAGGAACAATTTGTCACAACGACCACTTCATAGCAATCCATAGAGACTAAGTTCATGTACTTACGAATGCCGGATCTCTCACTGTTCTGTTGCAACCCACGCATGTGGCAGGGTGCTGTCAACTTCCTGGCAAAGATTCGGGACCTGGGTTGTTGGGGGTGGGTGAGCTGGTGGCTTCAAAAACTGGCGTATTCAGGCGTATTCCTAAGAGTAAGATTTCAAAGACCCTGGACCCCATAAGGCACTGAGCTTGCTTGACGCATGGATCAATATGCATAGTCTTTGAAGTGTTTGCAGCTCGAGTTTTTTTCTCAATCAAAGTTGTTGTCATCATCGCCTTCGACATTGTGAATAAATACATGTTCACAGCTTTGCTTCTTCAGCTCCCAATACTCATGAGGCTAGCGACTAGTCCTGATTTGGTTTTGCCGCTTTGGCTTCATGCAGGTGTCTTGAAATATCTTTTCTCCTTTGAGGATAAGCCTTCTGAGCTCATCTATCCAGACGGACTCACCAACTTCTCAAGCCACGGCAACATGCTCAAAAGGCTAGTTTTCTCCTAGGAGCAAGGATGCTACTAGGGGCTCCTGGCATCGCTATTAGGAGCAAGGACGCTATTTGTAGCTCCTGGCCTTACTATATAATATACTAGGAACAAGAAGCTACTAGAAAGCACATTGTGTTCACATGTCTCATATGTTCTTTGGTCATGGTGGATGGTACCGTACAAACCCAAAGAGGACCTTTTGCTGTAAGAATTAGCCTGGTTTCAACCCGACAAGATGTTTGATCACGGTTGAGTCTCAATGATGCCTTCGGCCATCAAACAACTGTCGCAGACAAGCATTATGCTTTGTCATCAGGTGCCTCGGACTAGAAACCTGGCGGACCTATCGGCTAGAGGCTAGCGTTTGTCCAAACTGTTCCCAGGAGAAAATATATATATATTTTTTTTTTTCTTTGCCAATAATAACATCATGGATCAAGGGCCCCGACTGTAATGACTAACTCAATCTGATCGATGTTTATTCATTTTGCTCGAACAGGAGTGGGGCTTTGGAAAGCCACTTGGCGTTTGAGTGGGCTTGAACAAGCTGTCATCCTTTTGCAAGCTATTGACTGAAGTGGAGGCCATGCTTTGAATCCATACAGTTGATGGTGCCTTAAAATGATTCATGTTCATGTTATTTAAGTCTTGAAAAAACACAAAATTGAAGTCGACACCGTGTGGAAGGACACCGGACACCGGGATCCCCTCGATTCAAGGATTGCTGTGGCCTGGCGGCAGCACTTCGAAAACGATGGGGACCGGGAGCTGCACTTCAAGGACAGCTCTGAAAGCCAGCTCAGGTCTCTAGACTCTAGAGTCTATCAAGGGCACGTCTTAGCCTTGGCTCTTTTCTTGTGGAACATGCAACATGTTCACAACTGTTCATCCTTCTTGGATTCTAAAGCAGTAACAATATGTAACAATCTGGCAACCATTTTCTGCTCTAGCCTTGGCATGACCTACGAGTCCTCGAGACGCTGCCAGGACTTCTGCATTGGTTTGGCCTCCCTGGGCCACCAGGGAATCTCGGCAAATAGCTTCCCAAAGCCTTTGAATGATTTTGAATGTAATTCCTTGAAAAGGTATAACATTTGATAGACTTACATAAACTTTCCGCACAGGGGTCCTGTAATTAACCGACCTCAATTTAAATGCAAAGTTCTACGGGCAGACGCTTTAACGCTGCGCCTTTGCAGAGATCAACCTCACCTTGCATCACTGCATAGAGTACATGTCATTGCATTGCAATGACAACGGTCCAGCTGCCGATAGGACCCCTAGCTCCTGGTCCAAGCACCCCTTGCAGGCTAAGTGTCGCTGAACATCTAGAAACCAAATCATTAAGTCTGAGCATGTTTGAGCCTTTCTGCGTCCTAGGTAGTAGATGTTTTTTTGCTACTACTGACCCCTTACTACTGGCACTGGGTACTCGAGCTTACAGCCTACCCCCCCTTCCCGGCTTTAACAAATAAAGGTGCTGGGCTGGTCGGTCCACCAAGGTGAAAGTCTCCTGTCCTACGAAGGTAAAAAATGGTGGGCCGTATTCTACGTCGTATTCCTGAATTCAGAAGGATTCTGCTTCCTAGAATTTGCTAGATTGAATCATGTTCTTTAGGAATCAGTATGAGGGAATTTGATAGAGTGCTGATTCATGTTACTGTATATATAGATCCATAGTATTCAGTTGGATGCAGCTGCAACCCTTGCCACAAAGGTGGGGATGCTGCTGCCTCTAGCGACGACTTCTTTGACACATTGCCTCGTCAAGCGCAGGAGACGGGTGGCGGATGAGTGCGGGTGAAAGTGAGGCCTCGCTAGGGCCGCCAGGGTAAGGGTGTATCACCGCATCATCGTGATTCAGGTGTCCTTTGTTTTGAACATGTTGAAGAGTGTGGGGTGATGTGGGGTGTGAAAGGTTGAACCCAAGGAGGTAATTGAGAATGCTAGGGCTGGTTGCATGTGTTTGGAGCATCTGGCTTTAAGCCAAGGACATAGGCCATAATTGTAAGCTGCAAGTGAGACCAACGTGTCTTATTTCATGCTTTTCCATAGCGCTCTTCAGTTTGCCCATGTGTTAGGAGAAGCCATTGAAAGCTGCCCAATGGCTGTCCTGGCCTTTGTGGGACACCATGAGATCTTTTGTGTTTCTTACAGAGGTTTTTTTTCACCATCGAAGCTATCCTTGAGTTCATCGGTTTATGCTCATATATATATATAGTATAAAGATATATTTTATATCGTGTATAATGTGGATTGACATGGTACATGTATGTTCTTATCCAGCTGTTTGCTTTCGATCCCTGCCCTGGTGAGAGCAGACGCTGGGGTCCCAATTCAGACACTTTGGTCACTGGTCGAATACGTATTCCATTTCGGGGTGTTACGTCAGCCTGGAAGAGGGGAGACAGTGTGATGTGATGATATGTGATGTATACCATTTTCCACGAGGATTGCTGCAAGGATTCGATTGGACGATTCGTACATATATCTATATATAGTAGCATACAACTAGTAGTGTCTCTCAGGCAATGGCTACAGCTCGCTTCAACGAATGATCCTTTTGCGGATGACAGCATGTGCCAACCGGGACTGAGTGAGACTTTTGGCGCCCCTGGTAGCGTACTTGCTACTAATAGCGATGCCAGGAGCCCCTAGTTCCTTCCTTGCTCCTAGTAGCGATGCCAGGAGCCCCTAGTAGCTTCTTGTTCCTAGTAGCTTGTTTCTGCATCACTTGTATTTTGCCACGAGTGGGGTGAAGTTGGTTTGTGATTTTGTTGCTAATCAAGTTAATCAAGTCGAGCAGACAATAGGGGATCCGGGCACCAGCTACTCCGGCAGCTTGATCGATTTGTCTCTCAGCCTTTTTGGATATGTTTCATGAATTGCTCTACTGATGAACCTGCTACTGGCATTGGCTGCAGGTATAATTGTTCTCTTTGCTCTGAGCCCTTGATGATGGAGGCCACTGTAACGACTCCATGTCGGTCACCCAGTTGCCTCCATGATCCGGACTGCCTGGCACCGCTTTTTGTTGCGCATTGTGTTGTTTTGCAGTTCTTTCGGGTGTTGCAATTGCGGATGATTTTTTTCTACCAGAAAATGTAGACTCCAGATGCAAAACTTAGAGACCTGGTCGTCAACCGAGGCAACCATCACTTTCACAGGCAGATGGTCGGTTGCACCAGGGATTGATTTTTTAGCTGTGTGTGCTACCACAATTGCAGGGTCCAATTTGGCAGTGAGAGGACGTCCAGGTATTCTTGACTCGTAGCCGGTCCCCTAAGCTCGTACGGGGTCACTGTCATGCCTTGTGCCATGCCTTGTGCCAGGGTTTGCATCAACAGGATTGACAGTCCTCAGCTGGACTCCCAGACATGAAAGTGGTCGCTGGTGTGAAACTTTAGCTGCTTCATGTTCTTCAATTGATTTCATGTATCATATCTCATGTTCATGTGCTCGTCAAGCAGATGCAGAGTAGCTTGGCGCCCTACCTTCATTTTGTTGTTTTATACGAGAGGATTACTGTACATTTCGCGCGTAGTCGTAGTGGACAGATGCTTTCATTGGCTTGGACTGGCAGCTCAGCCACTCCGCTAACTTTGTAGCTTTGGTCCTGTTGAGAACCTTTGATTGCAATAGATTCTAGATTCTGGTCAAAAAAATGGATCAGGTGTCCATTGTGCGGCACCTCGCTGCCCTTCTCGCCCTGGCCTCAATTGCTGTTTTGAGGACGACATCTCGTAAAGACTCATCACAGGAAGTCCGGCCCTTGCAGTCGTAAAGCCTGCAAAGTTCTGAAATGGCGGTTCGATGAGGATGAGTACTCCAGCCGACCGAAACTCGGGGTTTGGGTGGACCACACTCCAGGTGGTTCCTGCCCGCAGACCACCCTTGTGCGGAGCATGGCTTCCGGACGGTGACGCCCCGAAGCTATCGGCCCTGGGCCCAGTCTTCCCTAGGAGCTTCTTGTTGCTACAGTAGTAGCGATGGCCTCCAACCTAATAGCGCTGGCCTCCACCTAGTAGCTTCTAGAGTGGCTCCCAGGAGTGGTGTGTTCTCAGGTGCCTCAAAGGGAACCTCGCTTCATGGGCAAGATACAGGTACAGCAGGTATATAGGTCGTACGGTACTGCTCCTTACCCCATGACGATGTAATATTCATGATAAATTACCGTGATTGCAATGCGACACCGCCATCATACTTTGGCAAGGTGGCAAGCTTTACTGTATATGTAGTGAATCAGCACTCTTGAAGCAGCAACAACTATTGGAAAGGGGCCAGCAGCGCGAAATGAGAAGTGCATTGGGATACTGCAGATACCCCAAAAGGCCCAAAAGACAACTTTTCCTAGCCGGATATTTGTGCCTGAAGACACTCAGGCCATGCTTCGCAGGAGGTCCTTCCAAAGGAAGCTGTGGTGTCTCAGCTGAAATTCTCAGAAGGGCTCCCCCCGTAGCAGTAACACCAACAGCATTAACACTTATATAATTACAGTAAAACACAATGAATGAAACCATCCCCACACCCCTTTTGAATTACATGACTAATCGATGACAAGTTCTATGAAAAGCCGATGACAAATTCTGTGCAGCCAATGATAAATTCTATGAAGCTGACGACAAATTCATTTCAGCTGATGACAAATCACCATGCAACCGATGACAGCATAACCACCCACACTCCCCGCCCCTGATCAGCTGGTTCGGGCACAGTTACACAACCCCGCGTGCACCAGCAAAACACGCTTCATTGGGATTTTACATTTATATTGGGCCGAAGCATCCGATCGGACCCAGCAACAAAGGGCCACATGAACCCACACCCCAACCACCACCAAAAAGAGCAGCAGCCCACTACAGTTGAGGCACCGATCCCCAACACCTGCCCACAAACTCAAGCACCGGAAACCACACGCTCGAATTTGGATTTGGTGCCCTCCCAAAGCTGTTGTTTGCTCTCACTGAGCTCTGTGTGGCCAAAATTTAGAATAAGATCTGAACCACGAAGAGCAGGTCGAACGGAACGTCTCTTTCGCACAACTTATTATTCCAATATATTTTTGCTAAAGAAGTTGGTTGTATGGGTATGTGCGGGTGTATTTGAAAGGTTGGGTGTTTGTTTCTTGTTGAGGTGCTCTTTTCCTTGTGTTCGCAGAAGCCCCCCGTTGGAAGCATTTTGAGTCAGAGTTTACGAAACCAATGAAGTTCCAGAGATTGCACATCTTTGTCTATACGCAGGCTACTCGTACCTGTTTGATCCTGTTTTCATGCCTGGCTAACTGCTTTATTTTTGTAGCCGTGAAACTGCATAGAAATTTACACGGTGGAGATGAAGATTAAGTTTTCCGGGCGGGCCACTGTTCCGCCACGTTTTCTGCAATTGCTAGGAAATCCTTGCCCCACTCCACGTTGGTTGCTGAGACCGACAGTCGTCCAGTGTCAGGATACCCGCTGCAGCGGCCTCCGCCGGCAAGGCTTCGTGGCGCGAATGGCAGCATGAGGTGCTTGGGACGTTCGAGTCGTCAATCAGCACCTCCCAAAGGAGGGTTGCCTTTGTTATCCTCTAATTACATATTGTGTACAGGAACCCTTTTGGCACTGGTTGTGGTTCTATATATTGCATAGACATTTAACTGCATGTGCAGATACTTCCAGTGACATTTGCGGCATGTGTATTGTATGCTTTGGTCATATGAGCACTTCCATCGTCAACAAATATTGCTTTGTGTTTGTTTGATGGCCGCAACCACACCTCTGTGCTGTTGCCGACTTGCTTTATATCACTTGATACATCAATGGATCCAGGTGCGTGTAGCTGTGTGTGCAAGGTCGTACCTCCACCGTTTGATCCCCACCGTCAGTGGGGTGGATGCCAATGAGGCCAGGCTGGAAGAGTTTAACATGCACATATGACTATTTGATGGTACATCCCTCAGCCTGGTACTGAGGATTCCTTTGGTCCCTCCCTTTACAGTATATGGTTGAAACATGTTGAAACAGAACATCTCAAAATCCATCATTACATCCCAGAATTTCAATTCCCACTATCCTTCAAGAAAGGTGTATCCTTTTGTTTTTCATCTCGTTTAGTTCCTTCATAGAAAACACACACACACACACACACACTTCAAGGACATACTGTATAGTCAACGATTCTGACTAAATGAGTACGTTGATGGTCTATGAGTGGAGCACATGAAGTTAAGAGAAAGGTGATTCCCCAACATCGTCAAATTCAAATAGTTTTTTTTTGTAAAATACATTGCCATTAAACACGGCGTAAAAAGGCTAAACAAATAAGTAGGTCTCGGATCAAGCCGCCATTGCTTTTTTTGTGTAAGGATGATCCCAAGACACTCCACACCATTCCACCCCATCCAACTAGTGATTAGCGTCAACGTGTTTATTGAAAGTCACAAGGCTGATACGGAAGGGGGTTGGAACAAATTGACTGAACATGGCACCTGTTGGGCAAACATGTCCGAATAGTTGTTTTCTTGGATGCCGAGCTACCCACTGTTTTCGATGTGAATATGGTAATCAGGATGAGGACAACACTCCCGACAACGCCGAGGCAAGTCTGGCCATGCAGAATGTCACAATCAGGGTTTGATGAAGTTGCCCAGACAGGGACGAGTTTTTTCTTTTTTAATATAATAATGATGGTATGTTGGAGGATCCTACAGAGAACATGTTCACAATTAGATTTTGGAAAGAACACACATCCTCGATTTCTA